CACTGGAGACTCTCTTGGCTACTACTACTACTACTACTACTACTACTACTGCTACTGCTACTGCTACTGCTACTGCTACTGCTACTGCTACTGCTACTGCTACTGCTACTGCTACTGCTACTACTACTGACAGCGACACCTAGTACGACGTACCAGCACCAGTACTTGCGGTGCTGGTAGTGCCAGTGTGATTTGCAGAGTATGAAAGATGGGTTGATGGTTCTGCCGGTCCGCGGACCAATTGACCCAGTGGCCGGGCTGCGACGCATCCTGGATGGAAGATCTCACGGATTATAATGCCCCCAGAATCCCCAACGACCATCCACTAGGACTTGTTGTATGCAGGGTTACACATTATAAAGGAACCTTGGTCTCTGAGGGGGGGGGTACCACATATGTTAACACTCCCCCTCAAAGACCAAGGTTTTCAAGTAAGAACTGACAGTAGCCTTCATTGCTTCAAGAATGCGATCGAAACGGTCATCACGGTAAGCGTACCTGTTTAATAGTGAGATCCTTAGCCATGCGACAGGAAAAAATGGTGAGACGCCTTCATACAACTAATTAGAGGTGCCTTGAAAGGTAGGCGCACCTTTGTCTGTCAGGGGTCCTTATGGTAAGGATCCTACTAGTTGGGGTTTTTATATTGAGGCTGCTGGTCATCTGAAAAACCTAAACACTAAAGGTCCATTTACATATATCGTATATACCTTAGCCCTACAAAGTTGCTTCACCCCTTTACATCCAAAATATACACTATATCGGTGCCTGATAGAAGCTTTAAAAGTCGCTTATGGAACCCATATAAGTCTCCACAAAAGCCTTCTAAATCCATTATAGAACCTTGATGAATCCTATAAAGAACTCTAGAACCCTCTTAGAATCCCCACATCAGCCTTTCTTGTATGTGCATGGACCCCTGCAAAGACGCATCGAATTCTCTTCTTGGATCCTGCAAAGCTCCGGACTGCACCCGCTGATAGAACAGAAATATTAGGCCAAAAGCCTTACCCTAAGAAACCCTATATCCCAGATCCTCGCCTACGAAAATGCAAGCGACCATGTTGGTGTATGTGGAATCAACTCTGCAAGAATTCAATTCGGCAGCTAGTTTTGCGGTTGCTATTTTGTGCGTATGTGTACGTGCATGTTCATACAGTATTGCGTCAACCCGCAGCAGGCACCAAATTATGCAACAGAGACGATTCAAGTAAACACGCACTCCGAGTCAAAACACAAGGAATCCCCAAACACATCGAGGCGGCAACACAAGAGATTACTATGGGAGCCGTCCATGGTACATATGCATATGTGCAGCTCCTTGGCTTTCTGTGTTTTGTCTCATCTTAGCCGTCCTAGCTTCCTACATGCGAGCTTCTTCCTGTTACATCATGATTGTGTGCATATGTGTACATGACCAGGTCTCACCCGCGACACGCACAGGCAAACACATCAATGCGAACATTACAGGCGGAAGTACATTTTCAAACGCAGTTGGTTCTATGTAGATTTTTTTTGTTTATCTAAAGTGTGAAGGCTCCGCGGGCACATTCAATGCCATCTGGATTGTGCCTATGTGCATATGTATGTACATCTGTGTCTGGAGATCATCGGGTCAGGATTGGTCTGTGTAAAGGGCGACACTGTACGACATTTGTGTACTTGATACTTTAGGCATTTGTATCTGACGCAAGTGCAACTAGTCATGCTTTTGTATATGTAGTCAACTATATGCAATATTATTGCAATCTTGATGTCGTCGTTGTTGCGGCTGTTGCTACATGGTTAGGAAATTACGATGTATATCTGTGTTAGGCGCAGAAGCCCTCTATATCCCGTAGCCAGAAAGATATTACTGTACCCAAACACGTTGCACTAGGGTTTGTCGGCTTCTCGCGTAAGTAACTGTGTACTACGCATTTCCTACAAAATACTGGTGCATTCCAGTGGTATTGATTTCTAATGCCTTACAGCCTCATGTGGGCATCCCCGATTGAATTTGAGAAACCTTAGTGCAGAACTACAGCAATATAGCAGATGCTAGAATACTGCTTGCGCAAGTGTTTAGGACAATGAGAGCACTCCCGATGCATCCCGAGTCTTGAAGTTCAATCCACAGGTGAGCCCTATTGACTTCACCGGGGCTATTGAGTTCAATAGGCCTATTGAATTCAATAGAGCTCTCGGATTTAAGATTGACGATGCCCTGGGAAAGTTTTCTGTGAGATCTTCAATCTTCAATCCGACAGAACGTATTGAATACAATGGGCCTATTGAACTCTATCGGCCTCACGGGTGGATTGAACTTCAAATCTCGAGGCTGCTCTCATTTCCCTAAGCACGTGCGCCAGCATGTTCTCCAGCATCTGTTGTATTGTTGTGGTTCTGGTGGTTCTGCACATATACTAGGGTTCAGAGTATACACATATACGCACAAAGAGTAGTCTTTTAAACTGGTAGATAAGTGAGGGGGGAGGGGTTCAGGGGCAGAATTCACAGTATTTGCGGCAAAGCTGGTAGATAATTCGGGGGGGTACCATTTATCTATATATATATATATCAAGTACATAGGTTAACAAAGAAATAAAGAGGTGTGTCGGTGTGTGTGTGTGTGTATATATATATCTGTTGTACATATGTATACATAGGTGCGAATGTTTTTACGTATGCATGCACACACGCAGCCTGTGAGGCAGGCGTGCACGCACGCATGCATGCATGCACGATATTTTCCTTTAACATGTCTATCTTGCTCGGAAATTGTGGCGTGCACCTCTCGGTGCCTGCCTACCTGAAGTGCCAACAGCTAATCTTCAACTCCGGTAGTTTGCTTGAAGGGCTAGTGTTCGCTGTGCTCTGAGACTGACTCGAGGAGCTCATGAAGGCCCATCTGAGCCGACCGCCTCTGCCTTCACGTGCGCAAGCCATGCGGATGAATGATGAGTTGAGTGCCGGCGAAGCATTGAGCGCTATACCCGACTGTGTTCGGCCGTCATCCTTAGTTGTTTGGGCATGTGTTCAAAGGACGCGAAGCCCCTCAAGGAGTCCAGAAAGGCCTACAATGGCAGAGTTGGAATCAATCCCGTCTTGCAATCTTGACATAGTCTCTCAGCCATGCATGACTCAAAATACTTATCACTGAGGCATGAGCGAGGCTTCATCATCGGTGGCAGATTCTGGCGATTGCAAATCGTCACCGTCTTTGTCGAAGGATCCTAGAGCTTGCAGTGGCAAGGCATCAGAAAAGGTCTAGCAGGGCGGCCAAAATGAATATTGCCTTATGGGTACGACTCAAAAGCAGCCCAGATCTCGCATCAGTCTCTTGTGGCGTTTTGGTGTCAGGACGACAAGCCTCGGACTCGCGTGACCTCCCCGAGGGGGAAGGTGCCAATGGAGCATTAGCATTCCTTGACCCGCGCATGTAATACAAGTACATGGCCTGAGAATTGTGGTAGGCTTCTGGGTTTGTCATCGAAATGGTCACATTAATGTTTTTCCAGTCCTCATTATAGGTTGTGGTTGTCACTTGGCGTCGCTGCCATTGCTGTTGCCGGTGCGATGCTGCTGTGGCTGTTGTGGATACTTTTGAACTTTCTCGTTGTTTCGGTGGTGTCGCAGTTGTTTGTGTTGTTGTTGGTGGCGGAGGTACAGACTCGGTTTTGGTGAAGTGTAACTGTGTAGCTGTTGCTGGTTCTCCTTTCGATGCAGCGTCGCCGTCCTGCTATTGTTGCTGGTGCTGGGGGTTTGTGATTGTTTTTTCGCCGTCGTCGTCGGTTGTGACTGTAGGTGTTGTTGTAGGTGTAGGTGTTGTTGTTGTTGTTGAGGCTGTTGTTGCTGTTGTTGCTGTTGTTGTTGCTGTTGTTGTTGTTGTTGTTCTTCTTCTTCTTGTGGCATGTGTGTGTGGGTGTGGGTTTTGGTGTTCTTTGTTGTTGTGTGGGCTCACTGTTGCCGTTGCTTTTCTTGTTGTTTTTGTTGTTGGTGTTGTTGCCGTTGCTCGTGCTGTTGCTCTTGCTAATCACCCTTGCTTTCGCCTTCGTTGGTTTGTTGCCGTTCCTTTTCTCGCTGCAGTTGTTGTTGTCGTCGTTGTTGTTGCTTTGCTGCTTTTGTTCGTTGCCTTGGCGTCGTCGTCGTCGTGGTCGTCGTCGTTGGTATTGCTGTTGTTGTTCTTAGTCTTTGTTTTGTATATTTGGTTTGTTCTTGTCGCCCTCCTCGTGGTCGTTGTTGTTGTGGGTTTTGCGCGAAAGAGTTGGTGTTGTTGCTGCGGTACTCATGTCGTGTCGTAGTAAACTACTCTGTGTGGTTCGTGTTGCTTGCGGACGGTTGCTGTCTGTGGCTGTTGCCAACGTCATTGTTGGTGGTTTTGGCGGTGGTGGCGGTCGCGGCAGCGGTTGCTACTGCTTTTGCTGCTGTGGTTGTTGTTTTCGTCGCTACTGCTGCTAAAGTCTCGTCACGGCTGGTGTTGTCTCCAAGGACAAGAAGCCCACGCTCTTCAGCACCTTCACGCAGCATGACTTGGCGTTGCGGACACTTGGTATCATTACAGTCAAACTGCCCAATGCACTTGTTATTGAACATTCGCAAGAATCGCGATTCGGTATATACAGTGGTAGATGTTTGGGGTCGGAAGTTTTGCCAGCCGGAAGTTTGATCCCACGACATGCGGCAGTCTGAAAACCCTGCAGTGGATGTTTTGCTGCCCTGAACCGACTCCAGTTGGTCCTTTTTCTGGTGTTGCGGCGGTCTGCATTCGCGGGTGCTTCGAGACTCTTGACGCTGGTAAGCGATGACAAAACAAAACCAATGCGGAATGTGGTTTGGGATCCGAAGGCTAGAACGGCTAGAAGTAGCTCCCTTAAAGGGTTCACTGGGGAGCGGCTTGCAAAGCGTTTGAGTGAAGAAAGGCAACGACAAACGCGTTCGCTCCGTTCAGGAAAGAAGCAACAGAAGTGGCGAAGTCGCAATCGGCGCAGGCCCATGCTGTGCTGGCCATGACGTTTCCTCACTTTGGAGCACTATGAATGAAGCAGTTGTCCTTGAGGTCAGCGACAACGGCTCCGAGGAGGAACGTCCTAGTTGGATCTTCCGTGTCGTCAATCACCACTGGTTCGATGCCTTCTTCTCCGTGGTGGTGTGGCTTGGTGGCATGGCTTCTGCACTTCCAGTCGCCCGTTCAGGATGTAGGGTCTGCCCATAGATTGCGGACATAGACTTCCATTCGATCAATGCAAGGACTTGACCGGATTCAGTCTGCGTAGGACTCAGGAGCAGGAGCAAAGTCTAAGGCGGTCAAGGCTTAAGGCCTCTAAGAGCACCAGGTGCTCAGTAAGATGTGTGGACGTGCTTGCCAATTGAGAGGCACGCTCGCCGTGCTTGCGAATGAAGCCTGAATCTTCCAAGCAATCTGTCAAGAAAGCTGAGCAGATGACCTTCAGACATATCAGGATCACGAACTCCATCTTCATTGGCATCGATGTTGAGCTGAACCCATCAGCGATGGGCTCACGCTCAAGCGTCATCGTAGCATGGCTGAAGGCATGAGGTGCTGTCGTTTTTTGTCCGTTTGCAAGATCACTGCGAAATTTCTCGGCTTTTGCAAAGCTGGCTGTGCATTGGAATCATTCCTGCCCAGGTGGTCATACAGTATATCTACACTCTTCTGTTTTGCATCGAGCTCGTCTTCCGTTCCGCAGCCCTGGGCAGAGACTACTACTGTTCCAAGGACCCCGCCTCGGGGGCTTTGGCACTGATCTGACCAGGCATGTTGATCGGAGTGGGCGCCTAGTAACTGGCCTAGTACGTTTCATGTTGCTCGAGTCACGGATCCACATTGGCGAAGTCACGTCACAGTCCATCCAGTGATTGAGATGCCTGGTAGCCAAAGCTGGTTCAGCTGGATAATTTGAAACGCTTCGCGCGGTCCGCCTCGGCCCGGCGGTGCTTGAATCCGGTGCATTGTTTTGGAAAGATTGCTTTGCCCACGGCAAGGAAGAGACGAGGGAACGGGGAAAAAGGGAGTGGGAAGGAGGGTCGGCGGCGGGGGGGGGGGGAGAGGGGTGGGTCACTGGGGAGGGGACTGACCGCTTCGTCGGCCGGGGTCGAGGTAAATTTTCATTCTGTATGCTTCAAGATTGGTTATCTTCGGCCGGCAGGAGGCCAAACTTTGGTTCTACAAACACTACTTCGGGAAACGGTTTCACACCATTCCATACGGACTTGTGACAGGGGTTGCTGAGCAGGAGTGGATGTGGGCCGCGCTTGACGTGTTCATCGTCGCCACCTCTCTGTGGGAAGTCTTCGTAGACACGTGGTATGCTATCGTCGAAGCTCGGAATGCATTTCTGAAACATCTTGGCGAAGCCTGCGCTTGGCTCGTGGCGCCTGCAAGCTTGATATACATGTAGCGTGACACAAATACCTATATACATGTATGTATTTCTGTAGTGCCAGTTTTCCCTACACCTCGCCTGATCCGTCGAGTGCGAGTGCTAAAAATGTATATAATATGCATGTATGTCTGTATGTATGTACGCACGTACGTACGTACGTACGTACGTACGTACGTACGTAGGTATGTCTGTATGTATGTCTGTATGTATGTATGTATGTATGTATCTATGCATCTATATATATATATTGTACATACGTACATACATACGTATGTACAAACAAACAAACATACATACATACATACATACAGACATACATAAGTAAATAAATAAATGAGTATATATATATATACATGCATAGACATACATATACATATACATGCGCATTTACGTCTACATATACATACACTTATACATATACATACACATACACATACGTACAAACAACATACGCACATACATACTATACATTACCAATAATACGATACCTTTGCATATACGTAAAATTATACACAGACCTACTGCATGGGGGTTTGTGCTTCGACTGCCCCACGTCCTCGCCTTCCCAGGGAGATGAGGGAGGCCTGGAGAGCTTCGGGGGCCTTACCGGCCTGAAAGCTTTCAGGACCTTCCTCTCTGAAAAGCCAAGAAGAGTGCATAGGGCTCCTTGGAAGTAGTCCTTGTTGCAATGGCCGCATGATAGGAGGTGGAAAGATAATCTGTATATGTGTATATATATATATGTATATATATATATGTTTCAGTACCCGCCGTTGACAGAGCAGAAACCAGCTTCTGCAATATGAAGTACCGGACCAAAAGGGCCACCAAGAAAAATAAGATAAGTTCCTGCTGGTTCATTTTGGGTGCCACTACCACTGGAAAAGATGCTGGGTACTGTAGCATGATCATGTGCTCCGGGAGGATCGTGCGGATCACGCGCATTGTGAAGACGGTGCGCTTGATGCGCATCTTCCGTTTCGTTCTCGCGCTGAGAACTCTGATCCACTCCATCTGGCACACCTTGAAGTCATTGCTCCACTGCTGCATCTTTGTGGAGGCCCCACTTCGGGGCCCCAAGTGGCAAGAAAGGCAGAAACCTGGAGCCTTCAAGATCCCGGCCCGAGCCAGTCCCAGGTTCTGGGCTTTGGTGCTGCTTCTCTTGATCGTGTACATCTTTGGAATGATTTTTACTCAAGCTGTGAATGGTGCCTTGGTCGCAACATCGCCACACATAAAGCCCCAGCCAAAGGAAAGCTGCGTCTCCGACAAATCCCTAGCATTCGGCCGGCAAAGCCGCTAGCACTGCTTTCCTGGCACGTTTGATCCCGCGTTTTCAAACCTGACAAGGTCACATCTTCGATCCAGACTCGTCTGGACTGTCTGATGAGGAGACTGATATCAGCTTGCAGCTTGCCCAGAAGAAACGCCGGAGTTTATGTGCAGAAAGCGTTTGAGTGAGAGAATCCGTAGACTTGAATTAGTCCGGGCATCGTCGTCCAACCCAATAACTTACATGTCGGCGCTCAGCTTTTTTGGCGAGAGCTCGCCGCAAAGAGAAAGGGTGGTGTCCATTCTCCGAGAAGTGAGGAAGAGCAAGATGTAATCGCTGCCCGGAAAGACCTTGACACTTGTAGGTCTCCCTGGAGCAGAGTGTGGGTTTTGAAGTTCATGCTGGCTTCCTTGTAGCTTTGGAGGCAATACTACGGGAAACTGACCATCACCATGTTGAGCCTGTTCATGAGTGTAACCGACGGCATCAGTTGGGAGAGTCTCGGCAGCAGTTTTCCTTAGGGTTCAGCCGTGTTGCTGTTTCTTTCCTCGAATACGCACGAGCTGCAAGGTCTTGCCCTCAACACATCTACAACCCGTCAGCGGAATGCTGCAAGTTCCTTCGTTTTGTGCAAACACTGGTACAAAGAGCGTTCAGCGATGCAACATAATAAGAGACGCTCACTCAGCAAACACGACATGCAGCTGCTGAGGAAGATCAACCAACCACTGGCCGACATCTCGCCTTTCTTGAGCTTGTTGTTCTTGTTTCCCGGCATTTTGCAACACGAATCCTGCGCAGCGGTTTCTGGAAGACACGACCGTTGGTGCTTGTGCAGCGGCAGATATGCGCAGCAGTCAATGCCAGCAACTTCCAGCTTGATCGACATCAGAAATAAGGTTTTATATAGCATTTACGTATTTTGCGGTGCTCAACGTTCTGACAGCGGTGTTCTGCTGCTTGCCCTGATTGGGTCTTGCGATGTGACAGCACCGTCCAGCATTCAAGTTTCCGCATGTTGGTAACGTCGCCCATGCGCATGTTCCAGTTGGCGTTGGTTGTATTGCTATGGAGGTAGTGTGGAATTCCGGACACCCAGGTCAAAGTGCAATTGAGAGCGCGCAGAACGACCACGCCACTGCGGTGCAGTCCATGCTTGCGAACAAGGTACGCTCTCGCACTGCTAGTTCCGTTCGGGCGACACAGGTGATACTTGTAGCACGTCAGGGCATCAAGATGACTACACGACCGGCAGGATGCATGTCATGAAGCGAATCGGAAGGCTTCAGCTTCTGCAGTACCTTAGATTTCATTGGCCAGGAGATGCATCTGCAGAAGATCCGGGCGCTGTTCAGCCAACTGGGAAGCCAACAGTCCGGCACAATCACTTTTGGTCAGCAGCATAGCTGAAGTTGAGGATGGGTTTTAGGCATGTTGGCAGGACCTGCACAGGCACAGGTGGATTGCAGTTCACGGAATTCAGGCTCAATGCACGGTCGGTGCTCCGGAACAACTGACTTTTCAGCTTTGGATGACGGCAGCAGCATGTGCCGAATGGTTCCAACCCGTGGTTGGCATTTGTATCCCATGAGTCGGATAAGCCGTTGAGGTGCACAGCCTGATGGGACTTCCCCGACCACAAACGAACCTGCCGGTACGTCTAGCAGCCGCCCATGTTCCATTTCCCGAACACACAGCATAGCCGGTCTCTGGGGCGTCAGCACGCGCGTCGAGATGCACGACCTCGATTCTGACAGGTTTGAGGAAAAGATCAATTCTGCAGAAGTCCGTGAGTACTTCGAGACGCTCGGATTGGATGCGGCTTGGAAGGAAGGTGTGGAAAGAAGGTTGGTCCAGAAATTTCGGGCTGCTGGGTAGCAGTCTTGTGCTTTGGGGCTGATTCGGCTCAATGACCAGGGCGAGTCATCGTTCTTGTCGGTTGTGCCCACAAAAAATGGCAAGAGCTGCTGTTTTGCAGGTTGAGGATGCATGGAGCTTTTTCAAGCTGCTGGACCAGGACGGCGGTGGATCTGATTCTCAGCTGCATGGGAGAGGCTTGGGCCCTGATTAGGCCAAGACAGACTTCGGATGTGGGCGGCGGGCGCCGAGGCGAGCACATGTCATGTGGCGACTGAGGTGGAGGTCGAAGAGTTCCTGAGAGGTTGCTTGCGATTCCGAGGCGCCATGAGTGTCTTGAGTTGCGTTGGGTGGCCTAGGTGCGGCAACAATGCAGGAGCTCATGGACTTGACTAGTCAGTGAAAACTGCAAAGGATCACGACAGCACTGATTATGCTCGGCAATTCTGACTCCAGAAGTCGATTCGAGACTTACGATTCCCTCGGCGATTGTTGTTGGGACTATTCTTCTTGGTATGGATGGCTTCCCGGTCTTTACGAGCATGTGCATGCATTGCGAGATTCTCCTCCTCCTTGTGACATGTTGCACGTAAAGGTTCAGTGGCGGTAGTTGTACTAGTTGTCTCTGCAAGCCTGGTAGACATGAGTGATTTCTATCACAGCATTCTCTGCTCAAGAAACTCTGCATCCCTGTTGGCTGTTCATGTCACAGTCCCTTCGTTGCTCGTGTCGCTCACTCATCTTACTACGGCTGTTTCGGCCACCATAGTTTCAACAAGCAGGGTCAAACTTGTGCGGGTAAAAAAGGGTCGAACTTGCGACGATCGAGGGTGACATGTGCCTGAACTGACAGGCAATGCCAAGGCTATCGACATCGGGCAACTGCTCCACGATCAAAGCTGGCTGATTCGTGCCACCTTCGCAGGTAGTGTGCAACGTAATCCTAGGCATGGATTTGGGCCAAACCTGACAGCCCACACGGAACAAGAGGGTTTTCTTTGACCCTCGAGTCGAGGACATCAGAGCAGATTTCACACCTATATGGAGATGGAGCTACAGAAGCTGATGCCACTGGGTCAGAATTTATGAATGAAACCGCCGAGGAGATACGTACAGTAGGCAGGGTGGATATTCGTTACCTCGATGAGTGTGCCTTGGGCTGTCCTGGTGAGTCCCTTCGGTGCTCATAATTTGCTGGGACCCGGTCGCGCTGACTCTCACACAACAACACACCGCAGAAGCAGCGTTTTTGTGGGTCTCTCGCTCTCTGGCTGTCAGTAGACTTTTGGACCGTGAGCATTTGAGGCAGCAGATCGCATCACTGTCCACATTGATGAACAGTCCGGCTGATGGAACACCGCGGCGCAACCGCAAGAGGACGGAGGAGGAGAAAAGCCTGAAAGCTGCTGCTGCCGCTGCAGAGAAATCCAGGGAAAATGCAGAAGGGGTCCACTCGTCATAGCGCGACGGTTCTTCTGAGAAGGTCGGCGCAGACCAGACCCTTTGGGTGGAGCAAGCTTGCTTTTATGTTGTGTGCCCGCAGCACGTGGCATCCCCTAAGGGGCGAAGTTCCGATCCTGATGTAGTCCTTTGGCATTTAAGAGCAGCTTCTCCAAGTCCAAGCAAAGAGTGTGCACTGGTGACATTTCGGTAGGACGTGCGACTCCCTAAAATGGGGTTTCGACAAATGCAGGAAGGATGTTTGCTCAGCTACTGGCGGTTTTTGTCCACAGCGGCTGCAACCCTTCAGCCCTGAAGCGTGGCCAATCCGGGACCTTGACCTCGGGGGAGGTTCCCGATATGCTGGCCTCGTCCTGCAACTGGCTACATAGTACAATGAAATCGACCGAGCTCGAAGCATCTCGCAGTTCACTAGGGGGTGCTACGGTGCTACCTGCTTTGCTTGTAGAAGGGAGCAGTTACAGGAATTACGCGTGGCTCAGCAGCTTGAAATGATAACAGAACCATGCTCTGCCGAGCATGTGACCTCTTTCCTAGGTCCTAGGCTGCATCCCAGCACCTTGGTTTGTCTCATATACCGCCCCCGTGGGAAAAATGCATCCAGAGAGCAGCGAACCTTAACTTTGAGACAGACCACATGGGATGGTTGCACACTTGTTTCACACGCGAGCAAGAAAAGGTTGTGCGTTTCAGAGGACCGCATGTCCTATCATGTCTTACTTGGGCGTCACCATTTTTGAGGCTGCATATGCATGGCCAATGTTCACGATCTTTTCCAGCTACACATCAAGTTGCACCCGCGGCAGCTCTTGCCCAAGCCATAGGACTTAAGCAAGCTCCATGACTCATGAAGACAGAAACGGTCAGGTCAACAGTTGAGCCTGAGCTGAACAACTAGCTGAACAGTAGTTTTTTTGGTATTGCCAAGAATGTTCGCCAGCCTTGTGCTTCAAACATAAGTCGCATTGGGCCCAGTCGGCGACCGTAAACTCGTCGTAGACCACCCTTTAGTGTGGCACTGCGGTATGTCGGAGATCGATCTGCCCGAAGAGGTGCCAGTGCTGCAAGAGTCTCTGCTGAGGGAACCCCCGCCTCCCAATTGTCAAAAAGCAAACTCAAAATGAACATCAGGAGCTGCCTCCGCTCCAGCAGGCGAGGCAGGCCAATCCAGGCACCCTCCGAGTTCTTCGAAGTTTTGGATTTTGGCTAAATTCGCATGTAGGAAGGACATGCACTGGATTAGGTCGCGTTGTGCTTTTCACTTCTTCACGAGCACTGTGTCCAAGCCTGTACCCTCAGGGCAGGTCCGAGCATTAGAGGGACAACCCGTGAGATCCGTGAGTGGGCTACTGCTGCTACGGCTCAAGCTCAGAGAGCAGCCAGTGGTTCGCTACCTCGCATCATCAAGGATGGACGGTCTCGGCACCCGGAAAGGTCTTGTATGGCTCCGTCCCCTTTGCTGATGAGAAGCTTCTGACCAACCTGGTCCGTTAGATGTCATGCGCGGAGCTGTTCCGGAATCTCACCGCAGTGGTCCTGGAAAGGAGAAAGTGCCGCTCAAAAAATTAATATTCTTGAGCTGGTCCGAGAATTCCGCGAAGAGGCAGTGAAGGCTTCTTATCTTCGAATAAATAGAAGCTGGCGAAGCACCAGCGCCAAGTACATCACTGCGAAAGCTCATCCGTAAGCCGATCAGTGCCGCGGAGCTCTTCATGGCGACAAGGGCGGAGAGAACGACAGGCACCAGGCCGCCCACACCGCTGAAGAGGGCGAGAAAGACTCGGCGGAGGAGGAGGAGGAGGAGATCCCAGAGAAGGCTCCGATGCCCCCGGATCGCCCGACGACCAAGCGGGTTCCCAGCGCAGGAGGACTCCGTTTTCGTGGATGAGGTCTTCTGAGGTGGCCGCTTTCGATACTCAGAAGTCTTCACACGATTACAAGTGGTGACTCAAAATAGCTTGTTTGTGCAACCTCTAATTACATCCGGTGCAGACCCAAACGCCTTCACAACAATATGCCACTGAGACACCTCCGAAGGCGCGCAGTCGGCAGCCGTGACTGTAATTCGGAGGAATGCTTCAAGGTTAGGGTTGTGACTCATAGTCAGCAGTATTCGTGAGATGCTCTGTTACTTCACTGGGAAGTTCGTGGTATCATTGATGTCGGGCTCTGCTTCGGAAAAGAAGTATGATAGTTTGATCGATCAAACATTCGCTGCAAGTAGAACGGATGAGACAACACAGGGCGACAGCGATTGATCCTCAAATTAAGGGTCATGATGCGTATACCTGTATAACTACTGCCGGGCGGTGCGCTTGAATCTCGAGCTTGTGCGAGAGGCGAAAGTAGTGTCAGCTGTTTTGTTGAAGCATCCGCATGTGGATCGGCATGTTTTGATGGTTATGTGGCAGTTATGTGTCTGTTTACGAAGTAGGGATGGCCCTAAAGTCAGCCACCACCAAACAACGATTCAGGTTCTGCGGTCATGGCTGGGGTTCAGGGTTCTTGTGATGTTGGAGGAATTGACGACATCATTTCTGATTGCAGGCAGTGCAAGCAAAGCTGGATGGGATGATACCTAGCAGCTCTTCGATTTAGTCCTCTATTGCCAAGGGAGAGTCTCCGCAGTCTTGATCGGCGCCTGACATAACACTCCTCCTCACGGTATGTGGCCCGTGCATGTGATAAGCCCATGCCCTTGTGCGTACAGTGCGGTAGCATGGGGGGGAAGAGTAGATAACATGACGTGTCTCCTCAAGGTTACCCGCGGCTACATGGTGGGAAACAAGCTTTCCTGTGATTTCCGTTTGGTAGCGGGCGGTTACGTAGGGGGGAGCCTGGCCCAGCGTTTTTGCTATGACTTCGGTGTTTACATGCATGATGCCTCGCATGCTGCCTGCACTCTATGCTAGGTGTTCTGACGCAGCACAGCATGCAATTGCTTTTAATTTTTCGTGGGGCAGCTGGTTTTGATTCGCGATTGTTTGCTTGCTGTGCTCGTGTTTCATGGCGACTGCCTATGAACCCATATTTTCTGGCTGAGTACATGCGTGAGCGTGTAGCCCGTGCGCAAGGCCAGTCGTGGAAACTCGACAAGGAAATCTTGAAAGAGACAGAGCGACTCGTACTTGCTTCAGTCCCCAAGCTTTGTGCCATGTATCTCCAGTCAGCAGCTAGGCAGGCAGGGAGGTAGGTTTAAGCATTTGTTTACTTGACATATATCATGCTTCATCTGGCAAGTCTTACTCTAGGTTTCTTCGTGCGTGTTTTGAACTTACTGCTGTGGCTTGCCTTCATTTTTCCCGTTGTTATTGCCATTATTGTTCTGCTTACGTACCATCGTTTATCACTGCCCTCATTCATTGACGACCATAAACGGTCGGATAAACTATGGAAGATGAAGACATAAGGCTTTTTTATTGCAGTATACTACTACTACGACGACGACGACGAGAACTAGTACTTGTACTAGTACAACAACAACAACAACTACAACTACTACTGCTACTACTACTACTACTACTGCTACTACTACTACTACTACTACTACTGCTACTGCTACTGCTACTGCTCCTGCTCCTGGTACTGCTACCGCTGCCGCTACCGCTCCTGCTCCTGCTCCTGCTGCTACTGCTGCTACTACTACGACGACTACTACTACTACTACTACTACCACTACTACCTCTACTACTACTGCTGCTACCGCTGCTGCTACTGCTGCTGCTACTGCTGCTACTGCTACTGCTACTGCTGCTACTGCTACTGCTGCTACTACTACTACTACTACTACTACTGCGACGACGACTACTACTACGACTACGACTACTACGACTACTACAACTACTACAACTACTACAACTACGACTACGACGACGACTACTACTACTGCTACTGCTTCTGCTACTGCTACTGCTACTACTAGTACTACTAGTACTACTACTACTACCACCACCACTACTACTACCACTACAACAACAACTACTACTACTACTACTCCTACTGCTACTACTGCTACTAC